TACCAAAATTGCCCAAAAAACAGGATATCGATATCGAATTTTATCGATTGCTTGGAAACGGAGTAAGTTATCGATTATCGGAAACAGGGACAAGGAGCACCTACATCTAAAATATACTTGCGTTCATACATGCGAACGGACGGACGGACATAGCTAGATCGACTCGGCAGATGCTGATCAAGAATATATATACTTTATGGGGTCGGAAATGCTTCCTTCTGCCGGTTACATACATTTGGATTTTGCACAAATACAATATACCCTTATATCCATTTTTAATGGGTTCAGGGTATAAAAATATTGCATCAACGTTGAGCGGTAACTCTGATTCCTGTATGCTATTGCGCTTAGTTCTTATTAAGAATATTATTTTGTGTACACATTTCAGACTTTAGTTGCAGCCACTTAACTCAACTACTCTATCATTTACGGCAATTCAATCGATACGCCTGACTTTTAATTATAATACAAGCTCGTGAATATTGTTAATTTCATTTGAACCGACTTGGACCACATTCACGTGATGATTATCTGTCTATGACGCAGCTCTATTTATAATTCGCATGCTTATTAAGCTAAACAGTTTAATGGAAATAATAATACAAGCAACATTTCCCCATTCGCGAATTCAGTTCCCGTCCCAGTACCGAGACATCGAGACAACAAACCAGCTAATCGATGTTAGCTGCTTCGCCACCCGCTCTATAATTTAAATACGCTCGCACGGCATGGCTGATGCACATTTGTTTACGATACTTAAGCGTATGGCAATTTTCGTAATGAATATTCTAATTGGTTTTTAATTATAATACAAGGCGCGTTTCGTGTCTTGGCCCTGTGGCAATGCCAAATGGGCTAATTGCAGCTGGTAATTGCAATATTAGACGCCCCGCCCGAGCTGTGCATCTACTGGCCACAAGCCACACAGTGCAACAGGCGGTGTCAAATGCAGCCACCACAATTAATATGTATATCGCCAGGTACTCTATCCAATAGCCAATGCCTGGGAATGGCCACACGCAATCGACGCATTTGGCGAACTGTTGAGCAGGGTGCAAAAGGGGTAACGGGGGCAAAGGGTACAAGGAGACGTTGTGGTCGACCTATAATAATTCAATAACGGTATGCATAATGCAACTACAACTGACGGTAATTGATTAGCTATTCACTTCAATTCAGCCTAACCCTTGAATAATGCATTGCGGCCTGAAACTAAACACGAGCTGTTCAAGCATTCGATTGTTGGCCCAAAATAAACAATCGAACGCCGCGTGGGCGCCCATCAGCAGAGGCAGGCATCAGGGCGCATCGTAAAGTTGGCATATTTATGCGACTAATTTGAAATAAAACATAAAACTCACCAAATAATATTAAGAGTCTCCCATTCGAGTCGCCACATAGGTGAGATGCATATCAACAATTAGAAGCACGCCGGGCGCCCCATGGTCACAAGAGATTTGAGAAATTTGACGCTTTTACGAGCGCTCCACGCCACAGACAGGCAGCATAATGTCTCTCTTTGATATACCAAATTAAAGCAATGGACACAAGCTGGACATTTGAGCGCTGGCATCTGATGAGACGAGTACTTTGCATATGAATGAGATGATGCCGTGTCAGCTGGCGCCGCAGAGAGCGAGCCATGTTGAGGAGCGGCAACATAATTGAGGCAATTAGAAAACATCAAAATATTGGGCCTGGAAAAAGAAAATTGTTAAATAAATAAATGCTAACAAATTTTGATCTTAATTAAGCACTTGAGCGCTTAGCTGAATGTTTATGTTAAGTCTGGACGGACAACAACCTGGCTCTGACTCTGGCTCTGACAATGCAATTAAAGCCGACTCTCAAGCGCTGAGCAATGACAAAGCATAATTCAATTTAGAGTTGAATTTGGCCAGGGTGGAAGGTAGCTGGAGCCAACGCCCACCTTATAATCATTCAATTAAAACGCTTAGGAATTATTATTATGACAAACAAATGTCGAGAGTTTTAAATTGATGCCAATCTTGCGGGCCAACAGCTAACGGCAGGAAGTTGAAAGCGGCCCAAAATTACAAGCAATTGAATGAATATGATCAATATCTCGCTCTCTTTAACCGACTGGCGGAAGTGAATTGAAAAGTTAACAAGCGTGGCGGGCATTGGCAAAATGGCTGCTTGGCCAGCAAGTTCGTTGCCTAAGTCTTTCGTTTAGACAAATGCCCAACATGGACTTTAAATTAATTACTTAATTTAACACAACACGCGGCCCAGCGACACCTCCGATGACATCCCAAAACGACGACAACACAAAGCACTAACATTGACAATTTGAATGCCGCGGCAAACCTGTTGGGGATCGATGTGAGCCGCGATCCTGAGTGAGTGCAGGACTGGGCTGCAGATGGGGGCATAACAGATTAGTTAGCATATCCCATATCAGGGTAATTATTGTTAAATGAGATAACGATCTTGTACTGCGTTGACATTTATTTATTTTCCTTAATTTCGCCGTATTAATCTTCCTGGAAACACGCATTAAACACAGCGCAGAAATCAGACAAACAAGAAGAAGACACACAGACACTCACCTCGTTGTGGCACGTCCCGCTTTGGAGTGTGTGTTCGAGTGTGTGTGCGCGTTCGTAATGATCATTAGCGGACCATGAAAATCAACAGCATCAATTTGGCTTTATTGGCAATGCAATGGAACGAGCATGCGGCCAGTTTTTCGAGCCGTCTTTTGACAATTTGCATCAGGCAGGCAATCGATCAATAAGCCTCAAACTTCGGCTAATTAATATAATATGTCAGCATCGGTATTATCAGCAAGCTCATCAACATCAAAATACTTGGCAATTAAATGAACACGTGAACAACAGCAAACACCAGGTAAAGCAGGTTAGAAACAAAACTCAATTAAAGCCAAGAAAAGCAAAAATCAAAGCAACAACAATCACAAACACAACTACAACTATGGGCAGCAAAAAATAGAGAGAAAAAACGCCACAACCCAAAAAAGACGCAGCTAATTTAACCAAATTGGATTACTTAATAAGTTTATTGGATAAATAACTTGGCCGCAACAACAACAACGACAGCATAAAGTGAATGTTTTTGTTGTGGCTGGGTTTTTTTTTTTTTTCGGGGCGCGCCACAAACCTTTTGTGGCAGCATTCAAAATAAGCCACGGGGCAAAACAAGTTGTATATAAAAATTGTGAGCTAATTTCTGAGAATTACCCAAAAAAGATGCCCCCCCCCCCCCCCCCCTCCCTCACACACACACACACACTCACACCCCACCCGTCTAATATGTTTTGTTGTTCTACAGAAACATTTGAAATGATATCGTTAGGAAAACAGGGCCAAAGATAAGCCCCAATAACAAAATGCAAGCAGGCTCCACATCAAGTGGGCGTCGTAATTTATTATTAATTATAAACAACGTTTTGATAGACAACAGAGAAATACCAAAGAGGGACAGCACCTACTACTACTACTATCTAGGGATCAAATGTGCGTGCTACTAAGCAAACACACGCCTCGGCCCAAGTACTTGAATTGTTGTTGGCCTTATAACTAAATGCGATTTATATCAGTATCTCTCTCCCTCTCTCTCTTTCTCTTCCTCTCTCTGTGTGTGTAATTGGCTCTTAGGGCTTGAATTGTTGAGCTTTTGACACTGATTTATGCATGAGCTTAGATACATTGTGTACTTTGCTGCGTCCGATTAGTTGGCTAGTCGGTTATTCAACCAAATCATAGACCCGACACCCTCTGACAGACGGCCGCAATTTAGTGCTGTTAACAGCTAGTAATTAGGCTCGATTTGCCTGTTAATTAGCCGATATCAATTGGCCCCGGCCAGTTGATATGGATGTTGCAGCCTGCAATTCACATTCGCATTGCATATTCATGAGTTTCTCTTGCGAGAATTCACTCGATTGTCGATCTGTCGCGATAGTCGCATAAATATTGATTTAAAAATCATTAGCACACCTCAAGCCAAAGTGCCGCGATGTCATTTCCAGCAAACCAGTTTGGGCATCTACCCCCACACCCCCACTGCAACCCGGCTGCACCACCTGCAACACCTGCACCCACCCCCAAAAGCGCCCCAAAGCAGTCGTGTCTTTTGATCTCACTCGCGCTGGCGCTCAATTAAATTCTACAATAAAACACGATTTGCATTTTAAATTGTGCAATTAAAATGCTTATAAAATCTATAAAAATAAATCGCCTAATGCATTTTTCGAACACCTAGTGAAAAAACAACAGCAAAGTAATGCCGAATGTCACACGTTAATTAATTAACAGGCCAAATGGCTGACTCTAGCGTCTATAGATGTACAGTGAAAACTCTACGGATGTACAGTGGGGTGAGCTGTTCAATAAATTGTACATAACATAATCCCCTCAAGATATACATATATACTATATTTCCTTATGGCCGGCGCCTTTCTAAGTAAAAGCTGCGAAAGTTGTAGGTGATTTTTCTTAATCTTTGGTAAAGTGCCAATTTCATTATTTAGCCCCCTCACTTTTGCTTTGAAAATTATGTAAATGTGTCTTGAGTGGGGGAAAAAAAAAAACTTTAATCGAAACAATGCTTAAATGTTTAATCAGTGGGATTGGGTTTTGACCGTCGGCTGTTCAGAAAAAAGATTACTTGAATCGAAACTCCAAGCGAAGGCAAATGAAAAATGGGAACTTATATTTATAATGTCAGAGAAATGGGTGAAAATAGAAAACATAATAAATAAATGCTGGGCACGCAAATATAAATAAATATATGATGTCACGCCAAAAATATTATGCAACATAATTTATTACCAGATATTTTGCCAGATATTCGCCAAATTGGAATTTGCACTTTTAGATTGTGCCCAATTAAAGTTCATTTTGTTTTTAATATTTTTATTCTTGCATAAGAATATTTGTTGTATATTTGATATATGAATATTTTTCAAGCAATTGTCTCTTTACTTAACAACTAAAATTAACAACTAAGACAACTAAATGTACTTGATAGCAATTTATTAGCATAAACGAATGACCGTTATGGCATTCAGTTAAATACAATAATTAACATAAAACTAGTTATAAATAAATGCGTAATTGATGTACAGGAATTACAAAGTACCGACGAGTTCAAATGTGCAAGAAATTCGCTAATTAAATTTATTTATTCTCACTTTCTTTATAATATTTACACGCTTAAACAATTAAAATTTGTACAATTGTTTCTCTCTCTCTCCCGCTCTCTCGCTCTCTCTCTCTCTCTCTCTCTCGCTTGCTGTTTTCCAATTGTGAGCTCAACTCAATTCGAAGGGAGAAGGGCGCAACTCACCTGCCCGCCCGCCTATGATTTGGCACTGTATTTGGGGGCGTGGCCAGTGGACACATACCGTCTCGTACTTAATACTTTTGTAGGAAGTGTTGTTTCTATTTCTGTCATTGGATAGATGAGAGTCGCTTCTATATACACTAAGCCTAGCGCTTGTCACTTTAAGAATATATCACAAATAATTAATTTTAAGAGCTCTCACGCATATACACACGCGCACAGGCACACACACACACACACACGCACAACGCTCAGCAAATTTGGGCGCTTCTTTAGTAAGGAACTCACATACGCAGGGCAGGGCAGCTGGGGGGTGGGGCTGGTCAGCCTAATGACTCGCATCTAGATCATGCTCATCATCGCTGGCACAGTCGTCCATTTCCATGTCGATGAGCTCGTCGTCGTCCTCGTCGCCGCTGCCGTTGTGCATGTTACGCTCGGAGCCAGAGCCGCCGCCCTTCTCGTCCTCCTGCTGCATGCGTTTGTGCTTGGTACGGCGATTCTGGAACCACACTTTCACCTGCGTCTCCGAGAGATTGAGCGATTGTGCGAGCGCCTTTCGCTCCGCGCCGACCACATACTGATTGCTCTCGAAGGCGTGCTCCAGCTTCAGCAGCTGCGACGGCGAGAAGGCGGTGCGAATGCGTTTCGGCTTGCGAAAAGGTTGCAAGAGGAAATCTGGAAGGAGCAGCAGAGATCGGGCTGGTTAGCCAACGCACAGGCAAACAGGGCTGACTAGTGTGTACTTACTTCCTGGAAAGCGATGCGGAAAGATGCGTCCGTGGCGACTGAGCAGCCACGGGTAGAGTGGGTAGCTGTCGCGCGGCATGCCCGGGCTGCCCATGAAGGAGGCGGCGGCGTGTGGGGGCAGGCCAGCCGCTGCGGCGGCGGCGGCCGCTGGACCCAGCACATGGCCGGCTTGCAGAGCTGCGGCCATCTGGAACTGGGCGGCGGCAATCAGATGCGGATTGTGCTGTGGTGCCAGCTCCGGCGGCGTGTTGATGTATGGCGGCAGCGCCTTGATGTCCGGCATGCCCGGTTGTCCTTGCGGCGGCGCTGGACCACCTGGGCCCATCGGAAAGGGTCGAACCAAGCCGGCGGGCGGCATGCCTGGCATCATGAGTGGGTTGGGCCCAGGGCCGCCAGCTGGATGCATTACAGGTGGCTTCGGGTAGCTGGGCGGCTGCTGTTGCTGCTGCTGCTGCTGCTGAGGCGGTGTATTATGCGGACTGCTGACCAGCAAGGTGGGCGAGCAGGAGGGCTGCGAGGATTGCGGCGAGACTGACTTGGGCGGCGTGTGTGGCGGCTGAATGCGCTGGGCTGGATTCTCTGCCTGCTCTGAGCCAGGTGGTGCTGGCGAACGCTCGCGCTTCAGAGAAACAGCAACTGGCGTGGACGTGACATCCCCCAGCGGGGAGAGGCGTGTCTGTAGAGGACTGAGGCCGTTGGCCATGGCGGCATTGTGATGCAGACGCTGCAACAGCTCCTGTATATCATGATGGGACTTAGGTGTGCCCTGCTGCTGTTGATGTAGCAGCAGATGCTGATGCAGTGCGTGCTGTTGGGCTGGCGATAGATGTGGATGGGGATGCGCGTGTGGATGCGGTGCCATGTGCGGTGGCAGCACGTGGTTGGCATGATGTGTTGGCGGTGCCATCAGATGATGTGGTGGTGTGGGCGTGGCAGGCAGCATGGTGAGTGCAGCGGGCGGCGTCTGAGGCGGACTGCCGGGTCCGTTGCGATCCGGCTGGGGGCTGCCGGGCTGCTGCTCCGGATTGCCTCCAGCGGCAGTCACCGTCGCATCGTTGCCAACAATCGAGTCGATGCTGAAGCCGATCTTCTGCTTGGGCGTGGGCAACATGACGGCTGAGGTGGGTACCGGCGGAATCATTTTAGTCATAAATACGCGCGTTGTTTGTGCGGGCGAGGCGGCGATTAGTTCGGCTATTTTGGCGGCTTTTGTCTTTTAAACTGTCTCTCAGTTAATCCTTGAGTATTTAGTCGCCTCTGCTTGTTACACTTGCTGCGACATTTAGACGCTTCACAACACTTAACACATGCACTTGGCTTTGAAACCCTTTTAACCGTTGCGGGCGACGGGCAAGTAAACAACTTTCTAGCGGGGTGGGGAGGGCAAAGAGTCAACTAAAGTTTTATAGTTTTGCGATCGACGCGCTCGTAACGTGTTCACTCGACGACGTTCACAGTCTGAATAATCGAGAGAAGCGGCGCTGTGGCACCAAGTGTACGCAGTGGGAATTATGCACGACACACGACAATACGCTCGCACTCTCGCTCTCGCTCTCTCACTCTCACCCTCTCTCGCTGGCTGGCACAAAACACGTCAAACCGGTCTGCACTAGCGCGTCACGGTTGCTGCTTGTTGCTGTTGATGTTGCTGCTGTTATTGTTATTGTTGCACGCGCTGTGCGAGAGAGCGAGAGCACACGAGCTGAGCAGAGTGTCGCACTGGCCAATGAGCGTTGCCTGTGCGCTTGCCATTGCACTCTTGCCGCCTTGTGGATTTTATCTGGCCACGCCATGCTGTCTCATTATCTGAACGGATCAGCTGCACATGGAGAGGCGTACACAATTTAATTCGCCACGTTGTATTTGTGTTTGCATTTGTAGTTGTATTCGTATTTGTATTTGTATTTGCTTTTGTGTTTGTGTCTGTGTGTTTCTGCATATGGCTTCCGTTGATTTCTTCAGTCGCTGGTGGTGGTTGTTGCCGTTATTGTTATTGTTGTTGTTGTTGTTGCTGCTGCTTTTGTTGGCATTGTGGCTGTCTCTTTGTAATTTGGCTTAAACTGCCATTCATAGTTTTTGTGGTTAGATTTTCATGCTTTTATTTTGTTTGCGCAAAAACAAGCGAAATGTGGAAAAATGCTTTAAATCGGGCGTGTGCTACGGCTAAGTTAGTACTTGCGGTAATAAAAATGTAATTATATTCCTGTCTGCAACATGTTTACGTTTTATACTCTATAACTATGTATAGGACCTCAATTATAAGTTAGAAATAGGCAAAATGCGCGTGAAAGGCAATTTCAATTATTATATACTTAAGTATATTCTGAATCAGAATCAATTCGATACTCAATATTTCCAGCACAGGAATAAAGAATGTCTATAATTTCATGTACATTTATCGCCTTTGGAGCTTTGGGCATTATCAAAATCCTAAATATTTGTTCAAGCTTTTCATATGATTCAATTTTTTTTGTTTTGATTTGCATGCCGCCCTGTTTACTTTGAGGCCACACTCTGAATGCTGATTTCTGTATGAACTTTGTTCGTTTCAAATGGTTATATTGGTTATAACTTTCCAGGCGACTAGCAGGGTCTGTCATGCATGAAGACCGAATAGAATCAATCCGATTATTAATTCCGCACCACAAATGCACTTCAAAGTTGGCCTGGCGCTAATAAATCAAACCGGGCGCACATTGACTGCGACAGTTTTATATAGAGAGCATAACGCTGACAATTTAGATGTTAATTTTTATGAATATTTGAATTTTTGTTCGTTTTGGCACAAGACACCACTTTGCATAGTTTATGTGTGTGATCGCAATCAAAATCCAAAATCAGAGCAAAAGCCAGCCGCAGCAATTGTCGTGGCGAGCATTTATTTTTAGATCAAGGCGCAAATATCAATTAGTAATCAGTGAATAATCCAAACAAATAATTTTCACACTTTTTAGGCTTGCCTGGTTCCAGTTGTTGTCTTGTGTGGAGCCGGGGTTATCAGTTCCGGGGCAGAGCAACAGAATTTATGACTTTCGAAATAAACAAAATTTGAAATTCATTTTATTTTGCTGCTAGATTAAAATCAATTTTATGGCCAGCTAATTAAGTCAACTGTCTGCCATGGCACATTGTGTTCCCTACCCGGACAGACCCATAAAGGCGTAATTACCCCGCCTAATGGGCTTTATATACACGAAAAAAAAAATACTGATGGAAAGTTCAGAGTGCGGTCTTTAATTGCCAAAACGTGGCAACAAATTGCCATCATGTGAAAGCTAAATTGACTGCCAAGCCAAAAGCATAGTCGGTTAATATTTTCACATTGCTAATTTTACAATTAGCCAAATCTAGCAAAAACATCAAGTGCTTCGTTTCACACGCCCACTGCGGGACATCGAGTACAATAGCTAGAAGTGGACAACTGGAACCAGGACGAGTGCCTGCCCGCAACAATTGTCCTGTTAATGAGCAAATAAAGATATCTGCATGACCAGCAGCCAGCGCACAGCATCAGCTAAATAGATGTCCGACTAACCAGCTGCCTGGCCCGAGCATAAGCACCCGCTGGGCAACCAATTGAGCAGGGTATACACAGTACTCGATCCTGAGATACCCTGCAGTAAGTTCAATATGTTGAACTCAAATTCTATTAGGCTATAAGAGTTAAGGGAGATGGTGGAGAACAGGTTGCAAGGAAGGAAGGTCTTCCAACTAAAAACACTTTTCGTAAGATTCAGATCACAGTATATATATTAAAAAGCGGATATATTAACGACTTGTGGCTACTTGACCAAACTGAACCAAACTACCCCTAGTTTACAGGGTATTAGCTCACTGGGAAATTTCGCAAAGGCGCTTCTGTGACTGCAAATGAAAACCATAAAAAATGCGAGACAAGGGCCAACAACAACAAGGGAACAGGCACACAAAAAAAAAACGTATTTATTAGATGGAAATGGAAATAAATCGAAAGCAGCCCCCGGGAGAGAGAAGAGAGCACACAATGCTGGCCCGTCCGAAAGGTGTCAAAATCAACAATTTTCGAGCTGCAAACAATTCCACAGAAAACAAGGCGCACAGCATGATGCAATTTTGCCCCTCTCGCACTTAGCTCCCTGTTTCGTGCTCTAGGTCTGGCTCTTGAGCCGATCTAACCATTTTTTTCGGCTGAAATGATGAAGGAAAAAATGAGAAGTAAAATAAAATAGAAACAAGAGTTTCACTTTTGCTTGAAAAAAAAAAGAAAAAAAAACAATGAAAAACGTGGCAAATTTCCCTTTGTTTAATTTAGTGGCAAGAAATTGTTGAGTGCCAACGAAAATGGTCGAAACAAAAAATTGACTTTAATGATGATGAGTTGCCGATTAGAAGAACGCCTCGAGCTGCTCACTAAATTCATTTGAATTGTGTTTGTGTGTAATTTTCTATGTTTTCTATTTTCCTCCGTGTTTTGTATTTTCTGTTGACGTTTTGTCTTTTTACGCTGAAAATGGCACAATTATACAGAAATCTCAATATGCCTGGCATTTAAATGTAATTAATTTACAGAGTCTTGATTGCAATTGAGACAGACACACACGCAGTTTCCAGGAATTTCAGTCAGATCTATCAATTTCACAGTTCTCATAATAAGTTCGTTCTCCCGACGATCCTCTCATAATTCGAACGCTTGTAAATCCACGCGGCACACAAAATTATGATGGATGATATTGCGGCTGCATTTTCACGCTTGAAAAGGCCGAGAGGAGGGGAAAATAGTAGCCGAGAAAAACTCGAAACTGACAGCGCTTCCAATTCCAAATGATGATAAGCATGAGAGGATCAAAATTAGAAGCGGGGGCGCGCGTGTGGAAGGGGTGGATCAAGCAACTGGACAGCCATCTCGACGATCCGTAGAGTTCCCAGAAAAACCCATTACAAGGTAAATGAAAACGCCATGGGCCCAGGATCAGCATATGCATTTGATATTTCGAGCACGCCACGTCGAACGAGGCCAATCAAGAAGAAAAGCGGAGAGAAAACTAACTACAATGGCCATAAAAGCATATTAAAACACAATTTTTGGTCAACAACGGAGCGTTAAGGGGCCAAAACGACATAAAACATTTATATCTAATCCTGGACAATCATAAAAATCACAGAAACGACATGACAACGATAACGACAATGGAAAATGGGAAAATGGGAAATGCTACGAGCTGTCAGCAGCGGCAAACATTGCTTTAAATTGTCGGAAAAGTGCTCAACTGCGACCAGCTACAAAAAACCAATGCCAACACAAAGATCTAAGGAAAACAGTAGTCAGAGAAAATGTCATAAAAATGTCTAGCTACGGCTCCCACTTTTTTCACTTTTCCCTCAGCCCGTGCTCCGTGCTCCGATTCGCCCATGCTCGTCGTCGGATACGTGTGCAAAACATTCTACACTATTCAAGAACCTGGCAGTTTTATGACACTTTCCGTAACAGGAAAGGACTATTCGTATCCCTATCGCCGGCCCTAACCCTTAGCCTAACCCAAAACCTATTGCCATCCTTTCGGTCAGAACAACAACTGCATATAAAGAGGAAAATCTTAGTTGCTGAAAATAAAATCAACGTAATTTTTATAGCTTTTCACCGCTACTTTTTAGTGGCCAGTACGAGTACGAGTTAACTCCCCGTTTTTGACACTTTGCCACGTTTTATTTCGGGCTGACAGGCACTTTTGTTCGTGTGTCATTATCGTTTTGGCCTTATCCGTTTAGACGGGACTTTATCTTGCCGTGGAATTTATGAACCGGCGGCAGAACACAAACAGCTGGCATTTTGATCGAGCTTGGATAAGATCACGATTAATATGGTTAGTCAGAAATTGGGAACTTGTCTAGGATTGAGTAATATAAATATTAAGCGTTAGTTCAGTTCTTAAGCAGGAAATTCTCATCTCGAATGCGGATTTGGATCGTATTTTAATTTGTTGAAAGTTGTCTGTCTATGCCTTGAATAGACTCACATGTATTTGTGTTCTTTCATTGCAATAAATGATATTTACTCTCATCCATATTGCATTTCTATTCAAGCCTTGGGGAGGTCAGTGAGCTTATCACCTCGAGTTCGGATTCCAATATGGATCATTATTATAATTTATTGAAGCAAGGCTGCAGATTCGCTGGAATATCTGTCTATGTCTTGAGTAGACTCATATGTATTTGTGTTCTTTCATTGCAATAAATAATATTTACTCTCGTCCAGCAGTAAAATCCAACCCCAGCGTATTGCAATTCTGTTTACATCTTGGCCCCAAGGGCTTATATCGATACTTCGCATCTTTGACAGCCACGGACTGATGAGTCTTGTCTTTGACTTCCCGCACTTAATAAATGATCCGCCCGCACTTGTCGGTCGCACTTTACACCCCATTTGCAGTGCGCTCTGCGGGCCCCTGGCACGCTCGTCAGCCATATCAAAACTAATGATGACACCCAATAAAAAA